CGTACTGCTTCTACTTTGGAGTCGACTCCAAAGTAGAAGCAGTACGGAATGTTTCCTTGAAAGCTATCTTGATCAAAGAACCCCTTAATACACGTAATGACCAACCTATAACACCTCAGTTGCACTCCATGGGCGAATGCAAACACTTTTGGGGTTACGGTAATCGCCCGCGGTGTGCAATTACACGGCTACCCTTCGTGTATTTACGTAACATCTACTGCACAACAGTCCCAAGTTACCAATCGAATGGAAAGAAGAATAGGGTGATAACGATACCAGCAGTGCGGAGTACCTATAAAGATACTTTGTTAGAACCTTTCTCTTTCTTCAGTTACGATTAAAGACGATTCAGATTACAACTGAAAGATACAGGAACTTTTTACGTCAACGGAACCAAAAAAGCCGTGATTGCGCGTCGATCATGTAATACTGGTACAGTTACCAGTAATTGTTTCTTGCGCGACTACTTAGGTGTTTATTGTGTATTTATATAAACACATACTATTCTACGATAAGGAGGAGTTTTCAATAAAAAATTGAATATATGGACTATATATATGATTCAAGGAATACTATCAAAGCAAAATACCAACGATTCGAAACTATGGAATCGTAGGCAATGGAAATTAGCTAAAAAACTTGCATAAGCTACAGAATACAACCCTTACAAGGAAACCTAAAACACTAAAGGCAAAATTTTAAAGTTTATAAAAAATTTTTACTGCTAGTTCACCTTTCTACTCACCTCTCTATACGCCACTCCCTCTCTCTAAATCTAAGCCAGTTTTTCCGGTAAGACTTTGTTACTCTCCTGTTCAACCTCTTTCTAAACAACGTTCCTTGAACTTACTTACAACGTTTTTCAGACCAATACTATGTCTATTAAAAAATGGCATTCTGTCGAAAAATAAGCATTTCGAACACCATATCAGTGTAAAAATGGAGAACTCGGGAAAATCCTGCTATCACTAGAGGACGAAACCAGTCCACTCTATGGAAAGAACGGATTGCAGCGATGGATTTATCTAGATGCCAAAGACACGAGTCGTGAGTTGGAAGATTCATTAACCTATTCTAGTGTCTAATAGGTTACTTAAGAACTTACCACTACCTCACACTCTTAAGACCGCTGTTAAAGGGATATTCCAATCTTAAATTGGAACTCATAGTGTCATAAGTAAAAGAAAAGTATTATTAGACAAAATCCCATCATTACATTGAACAGTAGATACCAAACAAAGGAACCAACCCATTTTGGGCCTACCACAAAATACCTAAAAATTAGATCTTCATAACTATCCATACAGGACCGGATTAGCGCCAATTCATATCTCGTATAAATCACCTTTAACAAGCCCCCTTACCACT